AATTGATGTCACCATACCAACAGCCAGCAGAGTGATCTTGTCTGCTGTGGACTCATCTTATTGTGTTTCTAATAATAATAATAATAATAATAATAATAATAATAATAATAATTGATGTCACCATACCAACAGCCAGCAGAGTGATCTTGTCTGCTGTGGACTCATCTTATTGTGTTTCTAATAATAATAATAATAATAATAATAATAATAATAATAATTGATGTCACCATACCAACAGCCAGCAGAGTGATCTTGTCTGCTGTGGACTCATCTTATTGTGTTTCATAATAATAATAATAATAATAATAATAATAATAATAATAATAATAATTAATACAACAGCCCGCAGAGTGATTGTGTCTGCTGTGGACTCATCTTGTTGTGTTTCAAATAATAATAATAATAATAATAATAATAATAATAATAATAATAATTAATACAACAGCCAGCAGAGTGATCTTGTCTGCTGTGGACTCATCTTATTGTGTTTCTAATAATAATAATAATAATAATAATAATAATAATAATAATTGATGTCACCATACCAACAGCCAGCAGAGTGATCTTGTCTGCTGTGGACTCATCTTATTGTGTTTCTAATAATAATAATAATAATAATAATAATAATAATAATAATAATTGATGTCACCATACCAACAGCCAGCAGAGTGATCTTGTCTGCTGTGGACTCATCTTATTGTGTTTCTAATAATAATAATAATAATAATAATAATAATAATAATAATAATAATAATAATTAGAAACACAACAGCAGAGTGATCTTGTCTGCTGTGGACTCATCTTATTGTGTTTCTAATAATAATAATAATAATAATAATAATAATAATAATAATAATAATTGATGTCACCATACCAACAGCCAGCAGAGTGATCTTGTCTGCTGTGGACTCATCTTATTGTGTTTAATAATAATAATAATAATAATAATAATAATAATAATAATAATAATAATAATAATAGTACAACAGAGTGATCTTGTCTGCTGTGGACTCATCTTGTTGTGTTTCTAATAATAATAATAATAATAATAATAATAATAATAATAATAATACAACAGCTAGCAGAGTGATCTTGTCTGCTGTGGACTCATCTTGTTGTGTTTCTAATAATAATAATAATAATAATAATAATAATAATAATAATAATAATATACAAAGTCAGCAGAGTGATCTTGTCTGCTGTGGACTCATCTTGTTTGTGTTTCAAATAATAATAATAATAATAATAATAAATAATAATAATAATAATATTGATTCCAATACAACAGCCAGCAAGTGATCTTGTCTGCTGTGGACTCATCTTGTTGTGTTTAAAATAATAATATTATTAAAAACTATAATAATAACTTTATTTTTATACCCGCCTCCATCTCCCCAAAGGGAATTGGGGCAGCTTACAAAGGGACAAGCCCAGAGAGCACAAAGTTAAAAACATAACACAATAAGACATCATCGGCACACTGGGTGCAGTGCCTAAAGACCTTGGCCTGCACTTAAACACAATCAGCGCTGACAAGATTACCATCTACCATCTGCAGGCGGCCACCTTACTGGGATCTGCACACATTATTTGCCGATACATCACACAGTCCGAGACACTTGGGAAGTGTCCGATGTGTGGTCCAATACAACAACCAGCAGAGTGTCTGCTGTGGACTCATCTCGTAGTGTTTCAAATAATAATGGTTTTGCATTGGTTGCAAACGATTTAGCTTGAATGACTTTGTACTTTAATTGCATTTCCTGGTGTTTTAGGTGATCAGATCAGGGCAGAAGCTGCTGAGGAAGAAATCGGCCGATGGAGAGAAGAAAGGCGGCGGTTGGTTCAGCGGACTTTGGGGGCGGAAGGACTCCAAGAAGAAAGACGACGAGGAAGAGCCCTCCGTTCCGGAAAGTAGGTCAATAGGGTGGGAGGCTTTGAAATGGAGGCTGGATGGCCATCTGTCGGGAGGGCTTTGATTGTGTCTTCCTGCATGACACTGTTGCAACCCAGATCAGGAAATGAGACCATAAGATTAAATCCACCACACTTGACTGTGGGAAAAACAATCCTTTTTTATTGATGAAAAATGGTTACAAAATAGAGGAAAATGCAAAGTCAAAATGCCACAGTAAAACTCAGCAGTCAGGAATATCTCTGAACTAGATCAAAATTCCAAAAGCAACACTATAAAAACCTGGAACCTGTTAGCATTTCACTAACCGTACTTGGAAACTAGAAGCCTCTGGGAATGCAGGCCATGGGAAACGGGAACTCTGCCAAGGTAATGCCTCAGTCTAAACGATGCTTGATCTAACGAGACAGCCCGGGGGGAGACACTTAAAACTAAAGAAACTGTTTCGGGACACGCCTCCAGGCTTGGAAGCCTCCTTTTCCTTTAATCTACTTGACCTTCACAGACTCTGTGATTCACTCCTGTTTTTCCAAATCTGTCTCTTCTATCCTCATTAAAAAAGGCAGGTGTTAGCTCCTCTGGAGAGTTATCACCGTTTGATTCTGAAACATTCTCCTCAGGATGTGTAGTTTCACTTTCCAAGCCACTGCCCTCAGAATCAACAGTTTCCAAACCATCAGGGAAAAATACATGTTCAGTAGCCTGTTCAGTTGCATCAGGAAATACAATCAAAGAATCAGGTTCTGGTTCACACGGAGGCTGAACCCCAACAATGACAACTGAAGAGGGGTGGACTGGATGGCCCTTGGGGTCTCATCCAACTCTAGCAGTCTATGGTTGTGTTATCATTATTATAGTTGTTATGATTATTAAGCGGAGGCTGGGTGGCCATCTGTCAGGAGGCATTGGATGGTGTCATCTACTTCATGGCGAAATGGGGTCAGGTTGGATGTCCTTTGGAGGTCTCTTCCAATTCTAGGATTCTTTTAAATCCCCAAATTTCTTGCCATTCTGATTTCACTCCGTCCACAATCTCTCTATAATTCAAAATTTTTGTGTTCAATCTCCACCTCCTCATTTTGTCATCATCACATTTCAAGGCAATCTCAATTGACACCAGTGCATGATCCGAAATCTTAATTATTCCAATATCAGCGTTTAACAATATACTTAACACGTTTTTAGAAACAAAAATATAATCTATTCTTGTATAAACTTTATGTACAGCTGAGTAATATGCATATATTTTTTTCATTTCCCTTTATCAATCTCCACACATCCTTTAATTGCCATTTATTCATCACTCTACCTATGTCCGTTGTTTCACTATTTCTAATTTTTGACATTTGCGTAGTTTTATCTTTTTATTTTTGGTCCATATAACAATTACAATCCCCTCCATATATTACATATTGTTGGTGATAGTTCTCTATCTGACCTAGTACTTTTTCATAAAATTCTTGCTGTTTTACATTTGGTGCGTATACATTTACTAATACATATTTATCCTCCCCTATTTCACCATACATTATTATATATCTGCCTTCCTCATCTTTCGATACCTTGTTTATGACAAAGTTACATTTCTTTGCAATTATTATAGCTACACCTCTTGATTTTGATGACCCAAAGGATTTTTCATAGTTCCTTATCCAACTCGATTACAATCCATTAGAACCCGGTTTATTCTGGTGTGTTTCCTGTAAGAAGATAACATCCGCTGTGTCTTTCTTCAGTAGGGCTTCAATCCTCCTTCTTTTAATTACCGTTTCTAAACCTCTAGTGTTTAGTGTTGATATTCTTTATTTATTGGACTTCATTTCCATTTAAAAACTTTTTTGTGGCTTGACCCATTGTGAACCCTTGTCCCTTATAATCCCCCCCTCTTTCCCCCCTGTTTCCCCTCCTCCCCTCATTCCTCCCTTCCTCCCTTTCCATTCTTCGGGACTTCGGGGGAGACACTTAAAACTAAAGAAACTGTTTCGGGACATGCCTCCAGGCTTGGAAGCCTCCTTTTCCTTTAATCTGCTTGACCTTCGCAGGCTCTGTGATTCACTCCTGTTTTTCCAAATCTGTACTCTTCTATCCTCATTAAAAAAGGCAGGTGTTCGCTCTTCTGGAGTCCCAATCATGGCCCCCAGCCTTCCCGGGGGTGGGGGGGGGGTGGGCGGCAAAATCATCCTGTGATTCTATTGTTTTTATTGTTATGATTAAGCCTCTTGGCGGGGGTTGGACTGGATGGTCCACGAGGTCTCTTCCAACTCTATGATTCTAAGTAGGGGCTGGGTGGCCTATTATTATTATTATTATTATTATTATTATTATTATTATTATTGTGCCACCAGGGGCTCCATTTAAATTCTTACTTTTTGGTTAGTTATTGTAAATTTATATTGATGTTGTTTTATTTATTGTGTTGATAGTTTTGTCTGTTTTGTTATGACATTGAATGTTTGCCACTTTTGATGGAAAGCACCCTGAGTCCCTCCGGGTTTCAAATATATTACTATTACTATTACTATTATTATTATTATTGTTATTATTATTATTAATAATAATAAAACTATTTTTACCCGCTACCATCTCCCCAAGGGACTCAGTGCGGCTTACATGAGGCCGAGCCCACAATACAACAATACAAGCAATAACAACAACAATACATGCAATTAAAATAAATCACATAGACAATAACATGAGCATTGACAATAGTACAACACACTTTTAAAATCTATGGCTAGGCCAAAGGTAATTAAAAATTATTATTATTATTATTCTGACACAAAAACACAGTACGTCACAGCAAATAAGATCTATATGCTGGATTTCGTATCACAAAATCTCAAGTCAAAACACTTCCCAAGCGTCTAGGACTGTGCGATGAATTTTCGAATGATGCGCCCAGATGTAAAGTGACCTTTATTATTATTATTATTATTATTATTATTATTATTATTATTATTACAACAATAGTAACAACAACACTTGGGAAGTGTCCGACCTGTGATCCAATTCAACAGCCAGCAAAGCGTCTGCTGTGGACTCATCTTGTTCTGTTTCCAATAATAATAATAATAATAATAATAACAATAATAAAGGCTACCTTGCACGCATCATTCGAAAATTCATCACACAGTCCTAGACGCTTGGGAAGTGTTTGACTTGAGATTTTGTGATACGAAATCCAGCATATAGATCTCATTTGCTGTGACATACTGTGTTTTTGTGTCAGTAAAATAATAATAATAATAATAATAATAATAATAATTGATGTCACCATCCCAACAGCCAGCAGAGTGATCTTGTCTGCTGTGGACTCATCTTATTGTGTTTCAAATAATAATAATAATAATAATAATAATAATAATAATAACTCATCTTATTGTGTTTCAAATAATAATAATAATAATAATAACAACAACAACAACAACAACAACAACAACAACAACAATAATAATAACACTTGGGAAGTGTCTGACATGTGATCCAACACAACAGCCAGCAGAGTGTCTGCTGTGGACTCATCTTATTGTGTTTCAAATAATAATAATAATAATAATAATTGATGTGATTCTACAACAGCCAGCAGAGTGATCTTGTCTGCTGTGGACTCATCTATTGTGTTTCAAATAATAATAATAATAATAATAATAATAATAATAATAAACAACAACACCAACAACAACAACAACAATAATAATAACACTTGGGAAGTGTCTGACATGTGATCCAACACAACAGCCAGCAGAGTGTCTGCTGTGGACTCATCTTATTGTGTTTCAAATAATAATAATAATAATAATAATAATAATAATAATAATAATAATAACAACAACACCAACAACAACAACAACAATAATAATAACACTTGGGAAGTGTCTGACATGTGATCCAACACAACAGCCAGCAGAGTGTCTGCTGTGGACTCATCTTATTGTGTTTCAAATAATAATAATAATAATAATAATAATAATAATAATAATAATAATAATAATTGATGTCACCATCCCAACAGCCAGCAGAGTGATCTTGTCTGCTGTGGACTCATCTTATTGTGTTTCAAATAATAATAATAATAATAATAATAATAATAATAACAACAACACCAACAACAACAACAACAATAATAATAACACTTGGGAAGTGTCTGACATGTGATCCAACACAACAGCCAGCAGAGTGTCTGCTGTGGACTCATCTTGTGGTGTTTCAAATAATAGTAATAATAATAATAATAATAATAATAATAATAATAATAATAGTAATAATAATAATAGGCTACCTTGGATCTGCGCGCATCATTCGAAAATTCATCACACCTCTGCAATCCATTGTAACGGATGGGGCAGAAACACTTGCACGGTTCCGGGGCTCCTGGAAGCAATGGCTAATGGCACACCTTTTCCAATTCTTTGCGCAGCCATCGACGACCTCATGACACCCGAAGAGAAGGCCAAGCTTTTCACTGCCATCGGTTACAGTGACAGCTCTCACAATTTGGCTTTGCCTAAGCAGGTATTTGCGCATTTTCATTTTCAACTTGTGCTACAGAGAACTGACTGTCCCCGAGTTACAAACATCTGACTTAAAAACGACTCACAATTAAGAATAGGGCTGAGACAACAAGAAGTGAGGGACATCTATCTTTAAGCAGGGAAATGCGCTCCTGGAAATGTTACTTATCATTATCAAGCCTATATGTGTGTGTATGTGTTTTTATATATATATATATATATATATATATATATATAATATATATATATATTCTATATAACTAGCTGTCCCCTGCCACGCGTTGCTGTATTTTCTGTTGATCATGGGGGTTCTGTGTGGAAGGTTTGGCCCAATTTCATCGTTGGTGGGGTTCAGAATGCTCTGTGATTGTAGGTGAACTACAAATCCCAGCAACTACAACTCCCAAATGTCAAGATTCCATTTTCCCTGAACTCCACCAGTGTTCACATTTGGGCATATTCGTGTAGAGTTTGGTCCAGATCCATCATTGTTTGAGTCCACAGTGTTCTCTGGATGTAGGTGAACTACAACTCCAAAACCAAAGTTGGTGGGGTTCAGAATGCTCTTTGATTGTAAGTGAACTTCCTACTCTCTTCTTCTTCCTCTTTTTCTTCTTCTTTTTCTCTTCTTCTTCCACTTCCTCTTTTTCCTCTTTTTCTTCTTCTTCCTCTTCCTCCACTTCCTCTTCTTCTTCCTCTTTTTCTTCTTCCTTTTCTTCTTCCTCTTCCTCTTTTCCTTCCTCTTCCTCCTCTTCCTCCTCTTCCTCCTCGTTTCGTCTTCTTCCTCTTCTTCTTCTTCTTCCTCCTCCTCTTCTTCTTCTTCTTCCTCCTCTTCCTCCTCCTCCTCTTCTTCTTCTTCTTATTTATTTATTTATTTCGAGCACTTCTACCCCGCCCTTCTCAACCCCCTAGGGGGGACTCAGGGCGGTATAATATAATATAATATAATATAATATAATATAATATAATATAATAGTGGGTTATAATATTATTTATACCCCACTACTTCTCTCCGCAAGGAAACTCAGACATTTATTATTATTATTATTATTATTATTATTATTGTGTATATTATTATTTATACCCTGCTTGTTTTTTCCACAAGGAGACAGAGACTATTATTATTATGTTTATTATTTATACCCCACTACTTCTCTTCGCAAGGAAACTCAGACATTTATTATTATTATTATTATTATTATTATTATTATTATTATTGTGTACATTATTATTTATACCCCGCTTGTTCTTTCCACAAGGAGACAAAGAGACTATTATTATTATTATTATTATTATTATTATTATGTTTATTATTTATACCCCACTACTTCTCTCCGCAAGGAGACTCAGACATTTATTATTATTATTATTATTATTATTATTATTATTATTATTTATACCCCGCTCGTTCTTTCCACAAGGAGACAAAGAGACTATTATTATTATTATGTTTATTATTTATACCCCACTACTTCTCTCCGCAAGGAAACTCAGACATTTATTATTATTATTATTATTATTATTGTGTACATTATTATTTATACCCTGCTTGTTCTTTCCACAAGGAGACAAAGAGACTATTGTTATTATTATTATGTTTATTATTTATACCCCACTACTTCTCTCCGCAAGGAAACTCAGACATTTATTATTATTATTATTATTATTATTATTATTATTATTGTGTACATTATTATTTATACCCCGCTTGTTCTTTCCACAAGGAGACAAAGAGACTATTATTATTATTATTATTATTATTATTATTATGTTTATTATTTATACCCCACTACTTCTCTCCGCAAGGAAACTCAGACATTTATTATTATTATTATTATTATTATTATTGTGTACATTATTATTTATACCCCGCTCGTTCTTTCCACAAGGAGACAAAGAGACTATTATTATTATTATTATTATTATTATTATGTTTATTATTTATACCCCACTACTTCTCTCCGCAAGGAAACTCAGACATTTATTATTATTATTATTATTATTATTATTATTATTATTATTGTGTATATTATTATTTATACCCCGCTCGTTCTTTCCACAAGGAGACAAAGAGACTATTATTATTATTATTATTATTATGTTTATTTATACCCTGCTTCTTTTTGCCACAAAGGAGACTCAAATCGGCTTATATTTAAATAATTTCCATACAATTTAAAATATCGAAACATCAAAACAGAATTATATATCATTGATATATTTTTTTAAAAAATTAATTTATTTTTTTAAAATTCAATTAAAATGCATAAACACCGTAGATCTGTAGTCTTAACATGCTGTGTTTTGGGGTGGAGTTGGGATTTGTAAAAGATGCCATTTTCTTGCACTCAGAGTGTTTTACTTGGAATATATAGCAAGGATTTGTGACAGGTGTGTGTCCCTCTTGTGTAGTACGTGGCTCACGTGATGTCTTTGAAACTCCTGAGCACCTCCTTCACCATCAAAGAAGACAGGAACGTCCCCGACACCCTGAAGATCCAGATCATCGACTTGAGCACCACAATTTCCCAGAGACCTGGAGCCCAAGCCCTGAAGTAAGGACCCGCTTTGACGATCCACTAATTTAAGATCAGACTGCCCAACACTGATTAAACTATTATTCTAACCTCCTTCAATGTAAATGGGCTTACTAGGCATGGTTAGCTACGTCGGAATCTTCGTAATTCGGAATAAATTTGGAAAAATTACCTTTTTGAAACGATTTTGATGTTTTTAAGAAAACCGGAAGTCCCTTTGCCCTTCTGAAGCTTTTCCTGCCATTTTTGTTATGACCCATGAAGTGAATCGGAAATGATGCAGCTTTTCCCTGCTTCTAGTCCCAGGACTAGGCTCAAGCCAGATAAGCCAGTTTTAAACCAGAGAAGGAAAGAACTTACTCCACTTGCTTTACCTCACTTCTGGCCCTGACCTCAGCTCAAGCCAGAGAAGAAAGTAATTTCCTGGCCTTGGCTCAAGGCAGAGAAGCCAGTTTTAAACTAGAGAAGGAAAGAATTTACTCCGCTTGCTTTTTTCCTGCTTCTGATCCCTGGCCTCGGCTCTAGCCAGAGAAGCGAGTTTTAAACCAGAAAATTTATTTATTATTTATTTATTTACTTTGCTTCTATACCGCTGTATCTCAAGCCCGAAGGCGACTCACAGCGGTTCACAAACAGTAAAACCAGTAGAAACAGCAGTGGTTCCATACAACATATAACAATTGACTTAACACATTATCCATAAATTACCAATAAGCAATTACAATGCACAATTATTACAAAAAACAACCGTACCCAATCTTCTCATCATCCAAGCGTAGTCCAGGTTCGTCGTCCATTGTTCCATTCCTATGTTCCATTACCAGATGTTCCATTACCAGAAAAGGAAGGAATTTCCTGTTCTCGACTTAAACCAGAGAAGCCAGTTTTAAACCAGAGAAGGAAAGAATTTACTCCGCTTGCTTTTCCCTGCTTCTGGCCCCTGGCCTCGTCGCAAGCCAGAGAAGCCAGTTTTAAACCAGAAAAGGGAGGAATTTCCCGGCCTCGGCGCAAGCCAGAGAGACCAGTTTTAAACCAGAGAAGGAAAGAATTTACTCCGCTTGCTTTTCCCCGCTTCTGGCCCCTGGCCTCAGCTCTAGCCAGAGAAAGCAGTTTTAATCCAGAGAAGGAAAGAATGTACTCCGCTTGCTTTTCCCCGCTTCTGGCTCCTGACCTCGGCTCTAGCCAGAGAAGCCAGTTTTAAACCAGAAAAGGGAGGAATTTCCTGCCCTCAGCTCAAACCAGAGAAGCCAGTTTTAAACCAGAGAAGGAAAGAATTTACTCCGCTTGCTTTTCCCCGCTTCTGGCCCCTGGCCTCGTCGCAAGCCAGAGAAGCCAGTTTTAAACCAGAAAAGGGAGGAATTTCCCGGCCTCGGCGCAAGCCAGAGAGACCAGTTTTAAACCAGAGAAGGAAAGAATTTACTCCGCTTGCTTTTCCCCGCTTCTGGCCCCTGGCCTCAGCTCTAGCCAGAGAAAGCAGTTTTAATCCAGAGAAGGAAAGAATGTACTCCGCTTGCTTTTCCCCGCTTCTGGCTCCTGACCTCGGCTCTAGCCAGAGAAGCCAGTTTTAAACCAGAAAAGGGAGGAATTTCCCGGCCTCGGCGCAAGCCAGAGAGACCAGTTTTAAACCAGAGAAGGAAAGAATTTACTCCGCTTGCTTTTCCCCACTTCTGGCCCCTGGCCTCAGCTCTAGCCAGAGAAAGCAGTTTTAATCCAGAGAAGGAAAGAATGTACTCCGCTTGCTTTTCCCCGCTTCTGGCTCCTGACCTCGGCTCTAGCCAGAGAAGCCAGTTTTAAACCAGAAAAGGGAGGAATTTCCTGCCCTCGGCTCAAACCAGAGAAGCCAGTTTTAAACCAGAGAAGGAAAGAATTTACTCCGCTTGCTTTTCCCCACTTCTGGCCCCTGGCCTCAGCTCTAGCCAGAGAAAGCAGTTTTAATCCAGAGAAGGAAAGAATGTACTCCGCTTGCTTTTCCCCGCTTCTGGCTCCTGACCTCGGCTCTAGCCAGAGAAGCCAGTTTTAAACCAGAAAAGGGAGGAATTTCCTGCCCTCGGCTCAAACCAGAGAAGCCAGTTTTAAACCAGAGAAGGAAAGAATTTACTCCGCTTGCTTTTCCCCGCTTCTGGCCCCTGGACTCGGCTAAAGCCAGAGAAGGCAGTTTTAAACCAGAAAAGGAAGGAATTTCCTGGCCTTGGCTCAAGCCAGAGAAGCTAGTTTTAAACCAGAGAAGGAAAGAATGTAATCCGTTTGCTTTTCCCCCCTTCTGGCCCCTGGCCTTGGCTCTAGACAGAGAAACCATTTTTAAACCAGAAAAGGGAGGAATTTCCTGGCCTGGGTTCAAGCCAGAGAAGCCAGTTTTAAACCAGAGAAGGAAAGAATTTACTCCGCTTGCTTTTCCCCGCTTCTGGCCCTTGACCTCGGCTCAAGCCAGAGAAGCCATTTTAAATCAGAAAAGGGAGGAATTTCCTGTTCTCAGCTCAAGCCAGAGAAGCCAGTTTTAAACCAGAGAAGGAAGGAATTTACTCCGCTTGCTTTTCCCTGCTTTTGGCCCCTAACCTCGGCTCAAACCAGAGAAGCCAGTTTTAAACCAGAAAAGGGAGGAATTTACTCCGCTTGCTTTTTCCCTGCTTCTGATCCCTGGCCTCAGCTCAAACCAGAGAAGCCAGTTTTAAACCAGAGAAGGAAAGAATTTACTCCATTTGCTTTTCCCCGCTTCTGGCCCCTGACCTCGATTCTAGTCAGATAAGCCAGTTTTAAACCAGAAAAGGGAGGAATTTCCTGGCCTCGACTCAAGCCAGAGAAGCCAGTTTTAAACCAGAGAAGGAAAGAATTTACTCCGCTTGCATTTCCACACTTCTGGCCCCTGGCCTCGGCGCAAGCCAGAGAAGCCAGTTTTAAAAGCAGAAAATGGAGGAATTTCCTGGCCTCGGCTCTAGCCAGAGAAGCCAGTTTTAAACGAGAGAAGGAAAGACTTTACTCCGCTTGCTTTTCCCCGCTTCTGGCCGCTGGACTCGGCTCTAGCCAGAGAAGCCAGTTTTAAACCAGAAAAGGGAGGAATTTCCTGGCCTCGGCTCAAGCCAGAGAAGCCAGTTTTAAACCAGAGAAGGAAAGAATTTACTCCACTTGCTTTTCCCCGCTTCTGACCCCTGGCCTCAGCTCTAGCCAGAGAAAGCAGTTTTAAACCAGAGAAGGAAAGAATTTACTCCGCTTGCTTTTCCCTGCTTCTGGCCCCTGACCTCGGTTCTAGCCAGAGAAGCCTGTTTTAAACCAGAAAAGGGAGGAATTTCCTATTCTCGGCTCAAGCCAGGGAAGCCCGTTTTAAACCAGAGAAGGAAAGAATTTACTCCACTTGCTTTTCCCCGCTTCTGGCCCCTGGTCTCGGCTCAAGCCAGAGAAGCCAGTTTTAAACCAGAAAAGGGAGGAATTTCCTGTCCTGGGCTCAAACCAGAGAAGCCAGTTTTAAACCAGAGAAGGAAAGAATTTACCCCACTTGCTTTTCCCCGCTTCTGGCCCCTGGTCTCGGCTCAAGCCAGAGAAGCCAGTTTTAAACCAGAGAAGGAAAGGATTTACTCTGCTTGCTTTCCCCCGCTTCTGGCCCCTGGCCTTGGCTCAAACCAGAGAAGCCAGTTTTAAACCAGAGAAGGAAAGAATGTACTCCATTTGCTTTCCCCCGCTTCTGGCCCCTGACCTCGGCTCTAGCCAGAGAAGCCAGTTTTAAACCAGAGAAGGAAAGAATGTACTCTGCTTGCTTTTCCCCGCTTCTGGCCCCTGGCCTCGGCTCTAGCCAGAGAAGCCAGTTTTAAACCAGTGAAGGAAAGAATTTACTCAGCTTGCTTTTCCCCGATTCTGGCCTCTGTCCTCGGCTAAAGCCAGAGAAGCCAGTTTTAAACCAGAGAAGGAAAGAATGTACTCCGCTTGCTTCTGAGAAAGCAACACTGATGTCTGCCTTTTGCAGACGTATACCAGGGTTAGGAGGATTGCCTGATTGCCTCCCTCCTTTCCCGCTTGCAGGGTGGAAGCCAAGCTGGAGCATTGGTACGTGACGGGCCTGAAGCAGAAGGAGGTGGTGCCTTCCCTCGTGGCCTCCATTGGAGACACCCGCTCCTCTCTGCTCAAGATCGCCTTTGAGACCAATCCGGAAGGGAGCTCTGCCGATCAGAGCCTCTCCGTGGAGTCGCAGCCTGTGGAAATCATATACGATGCAGTGAGTAGGAAGCATTTGCCCGCTGCCTTCTTCCCGTGTTTGTTCGATTCGTGCCACAGTGGCACCAGATCTTGCTTCCATCCTTACTATTATTAATACCCTTCCAAGTCTATTATTCTACTATCATTAAGCAGAGGTTGGAAGGCTGTCTGTCTGAAGGGATTGGATGGTATCCTCCTTCCTGGCAGAAGGTGGTTGGACTGGATGACCCTTGGAATCCCTTGCTATTCTCAAATCTTCTTCTTCACTGGGCATGTTTAGCCTGAAGAAGAGAAGGCTGAGAGGAGATATGATAGCCATGTATAAATATGTGAGAGGAAGCCACAGGGAGGAGGAGGGAGCAAGCTTGTTTTCTGCTTCCTTGGAGACTAGGACGCGGGGCAATGGCTTCAAACTACAAGAGAGGAGATTCCATCTGAACATCAGGAAGAACTTCCTGACTGTGAGAGCCGTTCAGCAGTGGAATTCTCTGCCCCGGAGTGTGGTGGAGGCTCCTTCTTTGGAAGCTTTTAAGCAGAGGCTGGATGGCCATTTGTCGGGGGTGATTTGAATGCAATATTCCTGCTTCTTGGCAGAATGGGGGTGGACTGGATGGCCCATGAGGTCTCTTCCAACTCTTTGATTCTATGATTCTTCTTCTTATTATTATTATTATCAAGCAGGGGCTGGATGGCCATCTGTCAGGAGAGATCAGATTGTGTCCTCCTTGATGGCAAAAGGGGGCTGGACTGAATGGCCCTCTTTGGGGTCTCTTCCAAGTCTAGGATTCTATTATTATTATTATTATTATTATTATTATTATTATTATTATTATTATTGTTATTATTATTATTATTAGAAGCACAGCAAGATGAGTTCACAGGAGGAAGAAACTTCTGTAGATTTGGAAAATGAAAGTACCAGTGTTCATGAGAATGTTTCAGAGGGAAGCCATGACCTTTCACTCCCTTCTGCACCTGGGAACCTTAATGAGAACAGAAGAGGCCAGATCTGGCAAGACAGGAGTGAATCACTCAGCTTGCGAAGGTCTTCCAGGTTAAAAGAAAAACAAACAAGGGCTTCAAAGCAGGGAGGCGTATCACGAAACCAATTCCTCGGCTTTAAGTGCCTTCCGCCAGGCTGACTTTCTCAGTTCAGGCATCGTTTTAGATTGATGAGTACCTTGGCAGTTCTCCCGGTTTCCCTGGCCATCGTCTTGAGAGATTTCTATATCAAGTACGGTTAATGGATTGCTAACAGGTTCCAGTATTTTACAGTGTGGCTTTGGGGTTTTGATCTTGTTCATGGACATTCACGTTTGCTGATTTTGCTGTGGCTTTTGATTTTGCATTTTTCCTTTATTTTGTAACCATTTTTCATCAATAAAAAAGGATTGTTTTTTCACAGTCAAGTGTGGTGGATAGTTATCGTAGGGCCTCGTTTCCTGCTCTGGGTTGCAACAATAATCCACCCAATAATCAGACCTTCCCCCTTTCCCCCTTTCCCCCAGAGGACGATCAATGCACTGGTGGACTTCTTCCGGACAAACAAAGGCATGGACCTGGAGCGCTTGACCACGGCCACGCTATCGAAGCTGGAAGAGATCAAAGAGCGGACGGCCACAGGTACGCCTTTGGGGATCCCCTTTCCTTTGACACCCCACGAAGAGCCCTCTTCACTGGGCTTCCTTTTCCTTTCCTTTTCTAGGACTCACGCACATCATTGAGACGCGCAAAGTCCTTGACCTGAGGATCAACCTGAAACCGTCCTACCTCCTGGTTCCGCAGACGGGCTTCCATTACGACACATCCAACCTCCTCATTTTGGATTTTGGCGCTTTTCAGGTAGAGCGTCGTAGCATTTCCAGGGGTCGGCACTCAGATAACCATTAAAAGGAGGGCACTCAAATTGTGGGGAATGCCTGCATCCTCCGTAATGGTGTCCATGGTTGTTCCATAGCTGAACAGCATCCATCAAGGTGGCAACCAGGCTCCGGGAACATCGCTGGAAGAAATTATGGACCAGGCCTATGACAAGTTTGACGTGGAAATCAAGAACGTTCAATTGCTTTTTGGCAGATCGGGTAGGAAGTCCTTGATCAAAGAGTCCGATATCGGGAAATATCCTTGTTTTCTAGTTTGTGCAGTTGGCTGAAAGTATTATTAGGTCCAGGTCCATTGTTGGTGGGGTTCAGAGTACTCTTTGACTGTCTATGAACTGTAAATTCCAGTATCTACAACTCCCAAATGTCAAGGCCAATTTCCCCCAAAACCTACTTGTATTCAAATTTGGGAATATCAGGTATGCATGCTAAATTTGGTCCAGATCCATCGTTGTTTGAGTTCACAACGCTCTCTGGATGGGAGTGCACTGCAACTGCTATAAATCTGTCACATCAGAAGTGACTTGCAGTTTCTCAAGTCACTTACAAACACACACACACACACAAACGCTGGGAAAGTGAACCACCTGATTGTGTTGTTATCTTTGGATGTTAACTCGTATATTTGCGTATGTGTGCCATTACCCCTTATGATCCTATGACTAATGGACCTTGTCCTTTCTCAACTGTCCTTCAGGAGAAGACTGGAAGAAGGCAAGGTTGGAGCACCCGTCAGCGCTGCACATCTTGCGCCCCATGGACATCCGCGTCCAGCTGGCCAAGTCCATGGTGGAGAAGGACATCAGGATGCCCAAGTAAGGCATTAGGGTTCAAATGGCTGGCTATATATGTACATAGCTATTCAAGGTGCAGGTTCTTACCTACAAAGCCCTGAACGGTTTGGGACCCGCCTACTTGCGTGACCGCATTTCTGTGTACGAACCCACACGATCTCTTCGATCATCTGGAAAGGCCCTGCTCACGCTCCCGCCCCCTTCACAGTCGCGGTTGGTGGGGACAAGGGAGAGGGTCTTCTCGGTGGCGGCCCCCCGACTCTGGAATTCACTCTCCAAGGATATCAGACGAACCCCACATTGGCAGTCTTTAGGACGAGCCTGAAAACGTGCCTGTTCCAGTGTGCCTTCCCTGAATAAAGGAAACAATCCGCAGCAAAATACCCTGAGAAGCACTTTAATTACCCGTTGGGTTGCTCTTTACTTTTGGTTTAAAACCCTCCTACTAGATACACCCTCTGTTCATCTCTAGCATTTATTTTTATAGTTTTAACTATTACATCTGGCCCGGCCATAGGTTTTTTAAATTCTCGTGTGTTATTGTCTACGTGTGAGGTATATTAATTGTATTGTATGTCCAAAGAACTTCTAACTGTGCTAAGACACAAAAGAGACATGCACAAGAAGTGGAAAAAGGGAGAAATCACCAAAGAAGAATATAAACAAATAGCCAACACCTGTAGGGAAAAGGTCTGCAAGGCTAAAGCACAAAACGAGCTCAGGCTTGGCAGGGACATTAAAAACAATAAAAAGGGCTTCTTTTCTTATGTCAGTAGAAAAAGGAAAAACAAGGAGGCGATAGGGCCTCTTCGAGGAGAAGATGGGGCAATGCTGACAGGGGGTGATAGGGAAAAGGCAGAACTACTTAATGCCTTCTTTGCCTCTGTCTTCTCACAAAAAGAAAGTCATCTTTAACCTCAGCAAGATGGAGTGGATGAGGGATTAGAGGACATCCAACCCCAAATTGGGAAACAAGTCGTCCAGGAATACCTGGCCGCTCTAGATGAGTTCAAGTCCCCTTTCAGGGCCAGATCAAGTACACCCAAGAGTACTGAAGGAATGAGCGGAAACCATCTCAGAACCATTGGCAATCATCTTTGAGAATTCTTGGAGAATGGGAGAAGTTCCAGCAGACTGGAGGAGGGCCAAGGTGGTCCCAATCTTCAAGAAGGGAAAAAAGGATGACCCAAACAATGACCAATGTCCAGTCAGCCTCGTGTCGATACCAGGCAAGATTCTGGAAAAGATTGTTAAGGAAGTGGTCTGCAAACACTTAGAAACAAATGCAGTCATCACTAACAGTCAACATGGATTTAATCAAAAACAAGTCATGCCAGACTCATCTGATCTCTTTTTTCGATACAGTTCCAAGCTGGGTAGATGCGGGGAATGATGCCGTGGATGGAGCGTGTCTGGATTTCAGGAAGGCATTCGACAAGGTCCCCCACGACCTGGCAAGGAAACGAGTCTAATGTGGGCGAGGCAAAACTACGGTGAGGTGGATCTGTAATTGGTTAAATGGACGAACCCAGAGGTGATTCTCACCAAGGCTTCCTCTTCATCCTGGAAGGAAGGGACGAGCGGAGGGCCATCATCAGGGTTCCGTCCTGGTCCTGGTCAGGATCTTCATTCATGACTGAGATGAAGGGCTAGAAGGCAGGATCATCAAGTTTGCAGACGACACCAAATTGGGAGGGAGAGCCAACACTCCAGAGGACAGGCGCAGGATTCAAAGGGATCTCGACAGATTGGAGAGATGATGGACCAAAACTAACAAAATGAAGTTCAACAGGGACAAATGCAAGAGACTCCACTTAGGCAGAAAAAACCAAATGCAAAGAGACAGAATGGGGGACGATGAGGCCTGGCTCGAGACGTGTGAAAAAGATCTTGGAGTCCTCGTGGACAACAAGTTAAACATGAGCCAACAATGTGATGTGGCGGCAAAAAAAGCCAATGGGATTTTGTCCTGCATCAAGAGGAGCCTAGTGTCTAGATCTAGGGAAGTCATGCTCCCCATGCTCTATTCTGCTTTGGTTAGACCACACCTGGAATATTGTGTCCAATTCTGGGCACCACAGTTCAAGAGAGATATTGACAAGCTGGAATGTGTCCAGAGGAGGGCGACTCAAAGGATCAAGGGTCTGGAGAACAAATCCTATGAGGAGCGGCTTAAGGAACTGGGCATGTTTAGCCTGAAGAAGTGAAGGCTGAGAAGAGATATGATAGCCATGTATAAATATGTGAGAGGAAGCCACAGGGAGGAGGAGGGAGCAAGCTTGTTTTCTGCTTCCCTGGAGACTATCATCATCATCATCATCATCATCATCATCATCATCATCATATTTAATAACTTATTAATCGCCCTCCATCCAAGAATGCTCTAGGCGATTTACCGCTAAATTATAAAAGATAAAATACATAAATACAAAAATTAAAAATCAACAGAGATCGAATAATGCTCTAGTCAAAAGCAAGGTCTTAAGTGCGAGAGTAAAAGGCCCTCAGTCACACATGGCTCTCACGTAGGGTGGTAAGGAATCCCACAAGGCAGGGGCAGAAAGGGAGAAAGCCCACCTGCGCCTGGTCCTTTCCAAGGGCACTTCTCTAGGACCCGGTATATGGAGTAAGTCACGTTGGGCTGGTCGTTGCGACCTCCGATGATGGGAGAAGGAGAGGCGGTCCCTAAGGTACGATGGACCCTGGCCATAAAGAGTTTTAAAGGACAGAACTAGCATCTTATACAAACCACGATACTCAATTGGAAGCCAATGTCAATGTTGCAGCACTGAAGGTGTTCTATGGCATTTCATGGGCGTTCTTGTGAGTAACCTAGCTGTCGCATTCTGAACAATACGAAGCTTTCGGGTCGTAGACATCGGAAGGCCCACATACAAGGGCGTTGCAATAGTTCAGCCTAGACGTGACCGTGGCATGGATGACTGTTGCCAGAGCCTCGTCAGATAGGGAGGGTGCCAGTTGCCTCGCTTGTTGTAGATGGGAAAAGGCCTGTTTGCTGGTGGCAGCGAACTGAGCTTCCATTGTCAGCTGTGGATCCAAAACGACACCCAAGCTCTTCACAGTGGTCGATGGAGATAGGGCAGCACCATCGAAGGTGGGCAACGGAGGAGTCAGACCTGCCGGGCGGCCATGCCAGAGAAACTCAGTCTTCGCCGGGTTCACCTTCAGTCTGCTAGCACGTAGCCAGTTCGACAGAGCTACCAAACATAGGGTCTCCAGACCCCTGATCTGCTCCCTCCTCCCTGTGGCTTCCTCTCACATATTTATACATGGCTATCATATCCCCTCTCAGCTTTCTCTTCTTCAGGCTAAGAGAGATATTGACAAGCTGGAATGTGTCCAGAGGAGGGCGACTAAAATGATCAAGGGTCTGGAGAACAAGCCCTATGAGGAGCGGCTTATAGAGCTGGGCATGTTTAGCCTGAAGAAGAGAAGGCTGAGAGGAGATATGACAGCCATGTATAAATATGTGAGAGGAAGTCACAGGGAGGAGGAGGGAGCAAGCTTCCTTTCTGTTTTCCTGGAGACTAGGATGCAGGAGGAGAAAGAGGAAGAGGAGGACATGCACAAGAAGTGGAAAAAGGGAGAAATCACCAAAGAAGAATTCAAACAAATAGCCAACACCTGTAGGGAAAATTTCCACAAGGTTAAAGCAGAAAACGATTAGGACAAGGAACAATGGCTTCAAACTACAAGAGAGGAGATTCCATCTGAACATGAGGAAGAACTTCCTGACTGTGAGAGCTGTTCAGCAGTGGAACTCTCTGCCCCGGAGTGTGGTGGAGGCTCCTTCTTTGGAAGTTTTTAAACAGGGGCTGGATGGCCATCTGTCAGGGGTGATTTGAATGCAATATTCCTGCTTCTTGGCAGAATGGGGTTGGACTGGATGGCCCAGGAGGTCTCTTCCAACTCTTTGAGTCTATGATTCTATGATTAATAATACTAAGAGTAATTTCTCTTTCCCGGCAGGTTCAAAGTCTGTGGGGAGCTGCCCCTGGTCCACCTGGGAATCTCTGACCGGAAGATCCAGGGCGTCTTCCAGCTCCTGGAGAGCATCCCTTTCCCCCAGAAGTCGGCTGCAACTTCGGCCCCGAGCACCATAAAAGTAAATGCAGGAGAGGGGTCATTCTCATGCATGTTCCCGGGTCATTGGGGAAGGAAAGCGGGATGCCATGCTTTGCATTGGAGCTCTCCGTGCAAATTTCAATTATATATGTTTAGGTTTCTAACTTTGCATTGGGTTTTTGTCAAGATCCGCTTTGAGTCTATTTTAGAGAGAAAAAGTGGGATAAAAATAAAAATAAATAAAAATATAAATATAAATTTAAGTATCAAAAATATAATAATAATAATAATAATAATAATAATAATAATAATAATCTATATAAATAAAAATGTAATGTTCGTTTGTGGGATTAACAGAACTCAAAAACCACTGGACGAATCGACACCAAATTTGGGCACAAGACACCTAACAACCCTTCACTCAAAATAATTGATTTTGTCGTTTGGGAGTTGTAGTTGCTGGGATTTATAGTTCACCTAAAATCAAAGAGCATTCTGAACCCCACCAACGATGGAATTGAAACAAACTTGGCACACAGTTCTCCCATGACCAACAGAAAATACTGGAAGGGTTTGGTGGGCAGTGTCCTTTGGTTTTGGAGTTGTAGTTCACCTACATCCATAGATCACTGTGGACTCAAACAATGATGGATCTGGACCAAACTTGGGACAAATATTCAATATCTCCAAATGTGAACACTGGTGGAGTTTAGGGAAAATAGAATCTTGACATTTGGGAGTTGTAGTTGCTGGGATTTATAGTTCACCTACAATCAAAGAACATTCTGAACCCCACCAATGATGGAATTGAACCAAACTTGGCACAAAGTTCTGCCATGTCCAACAGAAAATACTGGAAGGGTTTGGTGGGCAGTGTCCTTTGGTTTTGGAGTTGTAGTTTGCCTACATCTAGAGATCACTGTGAACTCAATGATAGATCTGGACCAAACTCTACACGAAGATTCAAATGTAAAAACTGGTGGAGTTTGGGGAAAAAAGAATCTTGACATTTGGGAGTCGTAGTTGCTGGGATTTATAGTTCACCTACAATCACAGAGCATTCTGAAATCCACCAACGATAGAATTGGGCCAAACCTCCCACACAGAACACCCATGTGGGCCACAGCAACGCGTGGCAGGGGACGGCTAGTAGTAGTAGTAGTAGTAGTAGTAGTAGTAATAATAATAATAATAATGTTCTTGGTTTTGTGGTGAGCCATTTTGAGTCTTTTTAAAGAGATAAAACAAGATAAAAATCTAAATCTAGTCTACTCTGTGTTTTAGTGTTTGATTTGCTTTTGCCAAGTCAGCCATATTATATAATTTTATTATTATTTTAATTTTATACCCAAAATTTTATAAGGTTTTACATGCCTAAAAAGTCGTCTAGTACCCCGGAATATACGGTAATTAAAAATTAATAGTAACAATAATAAGCTTATGCGATATGAGGATTTAAAGCTTGAACTGCAAAACTCTGGCACAAGCCAGTCAAGGGGTGGCCCAGTGGTGATCGGCACACAGGGTGCAGTGCCTAAAGACCTTGGCCTGCACTTAAACACAATCGGTACTGACAAAATTACCAACAAAAGGTCACCGTACTCGGATCTGCACGCATTATTCACCAATACATCACACAGTCCTAGACACTTGGGAAGTGTCCGATGTGTGATCCAATTCAACAGCCAGCAGAGTTGTCTGCTGTGGACTCAATGTTGTTGTGTTTCAAATAATAATAATAATAATAATAATAATAATAATACATCACACAGTCCTTGGCACTTGGGAAGTGTCCGATTTGTGTCCAATACAACAGCCAGAACAGTGTGTGCCGTGGATTCATCTTATTGTGTTTCAAATAATAATAATAATAATAATAATAATAATAATAATAATAATAATAATAATACATGGATGCTTTTTCTCTAGGGGCCTGCCATTCCTGTTGTTACCGATACACGGAAGGCTTTCCTTGGGACGCCTCTGTTGCTGGAAGGAGTGGCATCAGGTAATTCACGCAAAGCGCATGGAGAAAGCATGAAGCACTGGATTTCCCATTAGAATCAGAGTTGGAAGAGACCTGGTGGGCCACCATCCAGTCCAACCCCATTTTGCCAATAAGCAGGTATATTGCATTCAAATCACCCCTGACAGATGGCCATCCAGCCTCTGTTTAAAAGCTTCCAAAGAAGAAGCCTCCACCACACTCCGGGGCAGAGAGTTCCACTGCTTAACGGCAATCACAGTCAGGAAGTTCTTCCTCATGTTCAGGTGGAATCTCCTCTCTTGTAGTTTGAAGCCACTGTTCCTTGTCCTGATCTCCAGGGAAGCAGAAAACAAGCTTGCTCCCTCCTCCTCCCTGTGGCTTCCTCTCACATATTTAGACATGGCTATCATGTTTCCTCTCAGCCTTCTCTTCTTCAGGCTAAACATGCCCCACAGCTCTTTAAGCCGCTCCTCATAGGGCTTGTTCTGCAGACCCTTGATCATTTAGTCACCCTCCCTAGGACATATTCCCTTCTCATAATTATACATGGCTATCATGTCTCCTTTCAGCCTTCTCTTCTTCAGGCTAAACATGCCCAGCTCCTTAAGCCGCTCCTCATAGGGCTTGTTCTCCAGACCCTTGATCATTTAGTCACCCTCCCTATGACATATTCCCTTCTCATATTTATACATGGCTATCATATCTCCTCTCAGCCTTCTCTTCTTCAGGCTAAACATGCCCAGCTCCTTAAGCCGCTCCTCATAGGGCTTGTTCTCCAGACCCTTGATCATTTGTCGCCCTCCCTGTGGCTTCCTCTCACGTATTTATACATGGCTATCACGTCTCCTCTCAGCCTTCTCTTCTTCAGGCTAAACATGCCCAGCTCCTTAAGCCGCTCCTCATAGGGCTTGTTCTCCAGACCCTTGATCATTTAGTCACCCTCCCTATGACATATTCCCTTCACATCTTTATACATGGCTATCACGTCTCCTCTCAGCCTTCTCTTCTTCAGGCTAAACATGCCCAGCTCCTTAAGCCGCTCCTCATAGGGCTTGTTCTCCAGACCCTTGATCATTTTAGTCGCCCTCCTCTGGACACATTCCAGCTTGTCAATATCTCTCTTGAATTGTGGTGCCCAGAATTGGACACAATATTCCAGGTAAAGTGGTCTAACCAAAGCGGAGTAGAGCATGAGGAGCATTACTTCCTTAGATCTAGACACTACGCTCCTCTTGATGCAGGCAAAAATCCCATTGGCTTTTTTTGCCACCACATCACATTCCTGGCTCATGTTTAACTTGTTGTCCACGAGGACTCCAAGATCTTTTCCACACGTCCTGCTCTCAAGCCAGGCCTCATCGTCCCCCATTCTGTCTCTTTGCATTTCGTTTTTCCTGCCTCAGTGGAGTCTCTTGCATTTGTCCCTGTTGAACTACATTGTGTTAGTTTTGGCAAATCATCTCTCTAATCTGTCAAGATCGTTTTGAATCGTGCTCCTGTTGCCATAAAGTTCCAGTCAAATATGGTGTCTTCCGTATGGAAAATATCTTGTCTCTTCAGAATCCGATGATGAATATTTTGATGCCGACGAAGAGAGTGGCGCAAATCAGAGCGTGAAGCCCGTCAAGGCCGAGGCTGCGCCCAAGCACGAGGAGCTCACCGACCTCCAGCTCAAGTTCGAAATTCGGGAGGCAAGTGTTCAAAAGAAGTTTTGAACCTGCATTCTATTGTTGCCATATGGTTTTGGAATATATGTATTTATACAGTGGTGGGTTTTGATCTTTGAATTTTAATTGTATGTATTTTATTTATGATCATATGTTTTGGCTTTGTTTTGCCACCTTCAACCGACAAGATGTTTTTTATTATTATTATTATTATTATTATTATTATTATTATTATTATTATTAGTAGTAGTAGTAGTAGCCTAAAGGTTTAACTAAACGAATCACCCTTCTTAATGCTTGCTTTCAACTTAGAAAATTAAACCTCATGAATTCTGGTTCATCTGTCCATCTGTCTGTCTCTTTTTTTCTCCTTTCATTCTTCCTTCCTCTGTCTTTATCTTTGTTTTCTTTCTTTCACATGCCTTCCTTTCTTCCTTCGGCTGTCTGTCTTTTCCCCTCCCTCCCTCTGTCCCTCCGCCCCTTCCTTCCTTCCATTATCCCTCCCTCCCTTCCTTCCTTCCTTCCTTCCTTCCTTCCTTCCTTCCTTCCTTCCTTCCTTTGTGTCTTTCTTTCTGCCTGCTTGCCTTTTTCTTTCTTTTCTCTTTCTTCCTTCTTTTCTCTTCTTTCTTTTGTTCTGTCTCTTTCTTTCTTTCGCTGTCTTTTTCTCTGTCTGTCTGTCTGTCTTTCTTTTCTCTTTCTCCTTCCTTTTTTCCTTTGGCTGTCTGTCTTTTTCTTTTTTCTGTCTCTTTCTGTCTGTCTGTCTCTTTCTTCTCCTTCCTTCCTGTTGTCTGTCTTCTTTTCCTTCCTTCCTTCCTTCTTTCATCTTCATCTACTCCTCTCTCTTTCTGTCTTTCTTTCTATCTTCCTGCCTTCCTTTCTCTGTCTTTTTCTGCTTGTCTTTTTTCTCCTTCCTTCCTTCTACCTTCCTTTCTGTTTGTCTATCATTTTCTTTCTGTCTTTCTTCCTCTTATTTTCTTTCTGCCTGTCTTTCTCTCTTACAAATCAACAGTTTATTTTTATTTTTTTATCTTCCTTCCTTCCTTCCTTCCTTCCTTTGTCTTTCTTTCTTTCTTTCTTTCTTTCTTTCTTTCTTTCTTTCTGTCTGTCTTTCCTTCCTTCCTTCTTTGCTTCCTCCCCCCTCCCTTCTTTCTTCCTTCTTTTTGTCTCTTTCTTTCTCCTTCCTTCCTTCCTCCCCCGTTTGTCTTTTTCTCTCTTTCCTCCTTCCTTCCTTTCTCCCTCCCTCCCTCCCTCTCCCTCTTTCTTTCTTTCTTTCTTTCTTTCTTTCTTTCTTTCTTTCTTTCTTTCTATCTATCTATCTTTCATTCTGTCTCCTTCCTGTCTGCCTTCCTTTCTCTACTTGTCTTTTTCTCTTTCTGTCTTTTTTCTTTCTGCCTCTCTCTCTCTCTCTCTCCCTTCCTTCCTTCCTGCCTTCGTTTCTGTCTGCCTTTTTCACTTTCTGTCTGTTTTTCTTTCCCCTTCCTCCATTTGTTCCTTCGTTCCTTCTTTGTGCTTTTCTTTCTATCTCTGCACCTGTTTCTTCCTTCTTCCTGATAAGGTCTTTGGGAGCTAGGAAGTCTTTCCTTTTTGTGGTTTTGAAGATACAGAGCACCAACCTTGGCTTTGAAACGAGCCTCTCTTGCTAATCCGGAGTGTCTTCGTGGTTGCAGGTGGTGCTGGAGCTGACCAAACAGCTGCAGCGGGAGGAGAAGGTGCTTGTGTTCAGCGTCCGGCAGCTGGGCCTGGAGGCCGTGCTTAGGACCTATGACTTGAGGGCCGTCTCTTACTTGAGGAAAATCAGCCTGGATTATTACGAAACCCAAGGTAGCCTTGATGGAACTCATCCTGCGTCTGCCTCCTTTTCTCTCTCCTATTCTCCAACGCTAGGGAAATAAGTTATTAATACCTTTCATTTCGGGGTCAGCTGGAGGAAATGGCTCTATCTGGTGCAGGATCCCATGTTTAGGAAGATTGGATGTGAAATCGAGAGGAAGGGAACCCTAAAGGTCATCCAGTCCAACCCCCTCCTTCCCTCCCTCCTTCCTTCCCTTCCTCCCTTTCTCTACTTCTCTTCTGAGGCGAGGGAGAGAGGCAATTTCCTCTTTAAAAACCTCTTTGCTGCCTTATACTAATTCAGTTTCTTCTTTTATATTGGCTGGGACTTTCTGTGTGCTGTTAAACCTTTGTACTTTATATCGCAGCCAATGAAACACTCTTGTGTATAACGAAGTAACACAGTTTATTTATAACTTCTGGCTCCAACGCTTGTGGTTACATTTGTGTTTTGTTGCAATCTTGAGGCATACAGTCAGTATCATTTACTTGGTTAACTTTTCTGAATAAACTATCAATGTTTCACATTCACAAACATGTTACTTGCTTTACACACTCTTGGCTGAATTATATTCTGAACTAAGGCAACACTAGCCTTCTTTATGTTCCTTAAGACTCGAGCTCTATTTAACTAACTAAGTAACTGCATCTATGGCAGGCATCCTCAGAGGTTGTGAGGTTTGTTGGAAACTAGGAAAATTGGGTTTATATATCTGTGGAATAATGTCCAGGGTGGGAGAAAGAACTCTTGTGTGTTGGAGGTAGGTGTGACCAATTGAAACATTCACACCTGCTTCCACCCTGGAGATTATTCCACAGATATATAAACGCTACTTGCCTAGTTTTCAACAGACTTCACAACCTCTGAAGAGGCCTACCATAGATGAGGGCGAAATGTCAGGAGAGAATGCTTCTGGAACATGGCTAGACAGCCCAGGAAACACACAGCAAACCATTCCAAAGTAGATCCCACATATTCTTAATTATTATAGCATTTTCTATTTTATCTATATTGTACCGGTTACAATTTGTTGTTTCCATATTTCACATAGGAACGATATAATGACACCCATTTGTCAGAGTCCTTTTCAAAGGTATTCTTAAAATGTCTTTCCTTATTGCATCTGCAGGGAAAAGGCAGCAGCTGCATTTAATCAGCTCTTCGGATAAGCCTGGATTAGACCTCCTGAAAGTGGAATACACCAAGGTGAGCAGCATTCAATCCCAGGATACTACTACTACTACTACTACTACTAATAATAATAATAATCCCACTGCTTTTCATTATTGCCATGATCCCTGTAGTGAATCTTACCTAGTAGGCCTGAAAAGAAGCCTGGATAATAGTATGGGAAACCTCCATTTTGAGAGTGTAAGCCAGGGAAGCAGCCATCTTGAATGGGGATAGATGTATTTGTCGTGTCAGGGCAACCAGTCAATTGTATTACATTTCTAACAGAACAAAACAAACAGACAAACAAAACACAAAGTTTGCAAGCTTGTTAATTGATTAAATGTCTTTTGACCAGTATCTGGCCCCTTGGAGTGCCTCTGGTGTTGCCGCAAGAAGGTCCTCCATGGTGCATGTGGCAGGGCTCAGGCTGCATTGCAGCAGGTGGTCAGTGGTTTGCTCTTCTCCGCACTAGCATGTCGTGGATTCCACTTTGTGGCCCCATTTCTTGAGGTTGGCTCTGCATCTCGTGGTGCCCAAACGCAGTCTGTTCAGTGCCTTCCGAGTTGCCCCATCTTCTGTGTGCCCACAAAGGAGTCTCTCATTGGGTATCAGCCATTGGTTGAAGTTCTGGGTTTGAGGCTGCCACTTTTGGACTCTCGCTTGCTGAGGTGTTCCAGCGAGTGTCTCTGTAGATCTTAGAAAACTATTTCTTGATTTAAGTCGTTGACGTGCTGGCTGATGCCCAAACGGGATGAGCTGGAGATGCACGTCCCGAGTGACTCCCAGGTATTTGGGTGTGCTGCAATGCTCCAGTGGGATTCCTTCCCAGGTAATCATCCTCTGAGCTCGGGATGCTTGTCTGTTCTTGAGATGAAAAGCACATGTTAGGGATCAGCTGGTTTTCCCTGTAATAGGCAGTAAGAGCACCTAGAGCTTCGGAGAGCTTCTGTTCAATCATCTCAAAGCTCCCTGCTTGAGTGGTGATGGCACGATCATCAGCATAGATGAAGCTCTCTGTCCCTTCTGGCAGTGGCTGGTCATTTGGGTAGATGTTGAACATGGATGGAGCAAGCACGCTCCCCTGAGGCAGGCCGTTCTTCTGTTTCCGCCATCTGCTTCTCTGGCCCTGGAACTCAACAAAGAAGCTCCTGTTTTGTAGCAGGTTTCCTATGAGGCGGGTGAGGTAGTAGGGATAGATAGAAAATGGGAGGAGTTTGAGGTCTTCTGGGATTGGCTAGAGCAGATGGGAGGAGCCAAGTCTTAGGAGGGAAAAGATTTCCGCTTCTGTGGAGTTGAGAACTGGGAGCTGTTGGGAGAAGAAGTGTTTTGGAAACTGGGTTTTCAGGGAGAGAGAGTCTGTGTCAGACAGGGTTGATTAGCTGACAGGAAAGGTCAGGCAGCAACCTGATTTCTTGTGGGAAGTAGCACAAGAGATTAGCTCTCTAGGCTGATTTAGTTAGCAGGAAGAACTCTGGGAAGAGTTAGCTGATAACTCAGGGGACTACCTAGGATAGGTTAGTCAGA